AATCTTTTTCGTCAACGTTTATGGGAGAGGATAATGACGTAGGACACTAATGGCCGCAATCACTTGGTGGTTATTCTGCTACATACGTTTAAGCAATTGATCGATTCTTCACATTATTGATCACAGTAGAATTTACAGTGAATGTGGTGGGTCCCACCGTCCCAGGTTCTGAAGTTCAATTAATTACGAAAAAAGGAATAATACCAGCTACAAAACTAGTATTGTTGAAGATATTTTTTAAAATATGCCATCGTATACTTGCATGTTGGGAAGTGTCATGAACTCATGGTTCATGCCGATTCCTCGGCGATATATGATACTATTAGTTTTGTACACAAATGTCAAGAAAGTAGACGTAATTAAATAGGCAACAGATTTTCTATAGTACTATTTGTTATGTCTTCAAGGAATCAAAATATATAATATTTGGCACAATGATATATCGCGCAATCGCATGACTCTTAATATGTTATTTACTTATTTATAATACGTCTCTTAATTGGTTAAACAAGCATAGTCGATTGAATTTATACAACATCGATGTAATCATCCTGAAATTTAACAAATAAGTTATGAAAATAAGGTTGGACGACAATCGAGTGTTAATATTTGAATAATTCGCCTTAGACTAATTTTGAGCTTTAACATTAAATATACTATAAAAAAGTGTCGTCTTCCTTCTAAATAAATATCATACGGAAAGAAGTTTCCAAGACAAATTAATCAAAGGTTACGTGTACAAAATCGTACAAATAGTTTAATCTCCTAATTCAATACTATTTAATATTTAATGTAATCAACCTAACTAGCTAGCTAACTCCTGTAATTATTGATTAATACAAAAAGACATGCAAACGTGTCGAACGAGACCGGTCGAATTTGCAATGTGTTAGGTTCGTGCCGGTGATCTCTTCTTACAAGTTTGATCACAAGGCCATTCTTATGACCGGCACGTGACGGTATCGGTAGGTCAGTTTCCTGACAGCTAAAAGCATGCAACGTGTCGTAAGACAAGTGGTTTTGTCGTGCTTTCTTGCTGTATCAAGCTTGGTGAGATTAAGAACTGCTCCTTTATACCAAAGTGGACGTGTGTAAGAATCCTGTGGCTCTATCAAGAAAATATCAAATGGGGAAATTCAATATGGAATCTATCAAAAGAGAGAGATAGATTTTGTTTTCAATATTTGCACATTGCCACCATATTTGTAGGAAAGTTATTAATTTCTTCCAGATTCCCAATGTATAATTAACTTCCTCATATCATATTTTCAAGACCTTCTAATATTTTCTATAAATTTACCATAACCAAATTATATAAAAATTTGAGCACCAAACAACGTAAACAAATTAGATTATCCATTTATATGTTCTATTCTTTTGTTTGAAGAAAAATACCGATTAGTTTATGTAATTTTCGGAGAAATATTCATCTAAAAAACTCTGAACTTGAACTATAATAATCTTAGGATTCAAAACATAAGGGAGCTAGAATTGATAATTAAAGATTGTGAGGTTCGACC